GATCGGATTTATATAAATATTTTGAAAAACTGGAGTAGAACGTCTTGTTCTTGAATCAGTGTTGCAGTTATAACCAATGCAGAGTATTTGAATCTATAACCAACTGTCATAAAATCAACTTAAGTCAATTCAGAGCATTTTTTTGCCCTTTTTGCTTCTTAAGTCCAGAAGTTTAACATCGAACTTTGTAGTCCGTAAAACGGCCTCCTGTTTACTTCACTGTTAACTTAAAATTACTTCTTCTTGATAACAACATATAGCTTAGTCGATTTTCACGACGATAATTATCTACCTCCTAATCGACTAAGCAATAAGTTACGCTTCAGTTTAAGCCGCCTTTCTATGTATTCGAGTTCATATATGTTCCCAGCATTTCGCACTACAGTGACGCGTTGGCAACCGGAGGAAGCGACGAATCGTGCCTTTGAATTAACAAAATCGAATTAGTCCGAGACAAAGTCATTTGCGATCCGGCTGAAGAACGTTCGCTGCGTCCAACTCATTATCAATTCATACGGAACCGTCGACGTCGCCCCCTCTGGACGTCGATTCGAGGAACGGCAAAACGAATGCGGAACCCCAAAAGCACTCAAGTCTCACGTCCACCCGGGATCGTTCTCATCCCTTTAAATTTGCCTTCATCGTTTAGATACGAGTTATTATCTTCTCTTGTCAATACAGTATAAAATACTAGTTATGTCCGTTCTTGATGTTTGGAGTTATCCCACGATACCTGTCATGACATGAAAACTAGGCGGTATGTTTTACTAACATCCCCGAAAAGGTCTTAAGTTATAGATCGTATAAAGTGTAGTATGCACTTTACACAAACACCAAGCCTGCTGTTGCACGTGTGAGGGACGCACAGTGAACAATGGGTATTATTTGTAAATTATGACGATTTGCATCGAATAAATTCAATTATCGATTAGCAGTTATTACCGATTGACTGCAGTTCGCTGACCTAATAAAACAATCTGAACATAACAATTCCTCACTCGGTCACTGGGTCACAATAGCATAATAATAAATTGGTAAAAATGAAAAAGTAAAGTAACAGTTTTAAAGTAAAGTAGCACCCAATATATCCCATTGCTGGGAAAAGGCCATGCTCTATACAGAGGATATTAGGGCATAGTCTACCACGCGGCCCCACTGAGGAACACACCCCATTGGCGGAATCACATAATCACATATATTTGAAAATTTTTTTTTATATTTCTTTGTTTTTTATATTCAAATAAATGTACGTAAAAATTGCGTGATAAGGCAATTATATTATACATGTTTTAGCAAGGCATATTTATAGCAGTACTTTTTGGGAGGGAATTTTGTAACGGGCACATGCTAAAGATGTTGCATAACGTACAGGGAGAACGGTAATCGCATCTTGCAGTTCTCATTTCATTATAAGTTGGCGAATATCCTTTTTACCTCCGCCTATTTCAAATTAACCTATAAGTTATGCGAACCAATTAAATGTCCGCCCCGATTGTGCTCACTCGTTTAATTCCATGATCTCCGACTACGTAGAGTCGTTATTATTTAATCATCTATTTTGATTGCGAGTAAACCTGTAAATACACAAAATGTTGTATTAGAAATGAAATGAAGGAATATTTAATAATTTAATACGATATTTTATTCCGGACCGTACACCTGCTTTATAGTATTCGTGCTATTAGTGTCTGACAAAAAATGAAATTATCCAACAATTATGTCTCTTCGTTTTTTTTTTAATAGTAGATGGAAGTGGGAGGAATGATGGATGGAAAAGCTTGTATGGAGTACTGAATACAACTGTACAGTAAATACGCAAAAAGCGCGCGGAGACTCCACGGATGTCTGTGTGCCGAGACGCGGGGCCACCTGCATTTTCTTTTTCCCCTTCGTCAGTCCGAAATGAAGTAGCTACGTCCATACGTTACGACGGAAGTGGACAGCCGGGGTAAAATGGCCGCCACGTCGCTTCCACCCCCCACCCCGGCCCCCTACACCCCGCAGGCTTTAATTAAAGGCCAGTGTAAGGTTTTAACACGTCTCTACCTTTGATAGGTTCTTGTCTCGCGTCTGAATTGAAAGCTGCTTTTTTCGCAGGAGCCGAAAAAGGGACTGAGGGTGGGGTCGGAAAAGGGTTGAGTGCTTCGTTTGATGTTTTGTTTGTTCGATCGCTGTCGACTTAGATTAGTGGACGTGAGTATTAAGGAGTCTCGAAGTACGTCGCCTGCGGTTGTCTAGATCCTTTTGGAAAAGGACTTCTTGACGATTCTCGTCGATTCTCTTCTTTAAATTAGCGGTCAAATATTAGAAAAGAACTTGTTTCCTGAACAGTTATATTTATATTAATAATACAAGCCTTCATATGGTTACAGTACATACATTTGTAATTAAGTCTAATTTATTAATTAAATTCAATTACTTATTCAATTTATACGAGTATCTTTCTCGTATGTAGGCGCCTTCCTGTCTTTCGAACTAATAAACCTTAATAATGACTTAACGAGGTGTTCTCATACAGCGTATTTTGTAATGAGTTTTTCCTGATCTAAAATTATTGAAATAAGAATAAATTATTCGCAATTTTTTGCGATTGTAAATGACATATTTCTTTTCGTACCACCTTAACGATTGAACATATTCGAATGAAATTTGGAATCTAAAAGCTATTTCAGCTTACACTTTGGATTAATTTACAGATACCGTTTTTTATCAATGTTTTCAAGCTTTGTTTACGTTGCTTTGCTTACTAGATAACGACGTGTAAAAATATGTACTGAAACATTTTTTTTGTTCAATTTGCTAGTTTTATGCGTATGCACGTATTAATTGTTAAAAATAATTTGTTTCAGGTAAGTGACTCCAACGTCGGTGAGCGTATAAATTAAATCTAATAAAGTTATTGAATGGACAACTAAATAACGTTATAAAAGTTGCATTTAAAAATATATCACTGCGCGGTGTGCCCCGATTTCAAAGTTATTCAAGTCGTAGACGGACAATTTAATTCGATTATAGCGAATGATGATTTCACTCGGTGCTCGCCCAGTCACTCCGAAGATTCCATCGCTCTAATTACGACTATATGTTTTGTTCTTTACCCGCTGTGAATGTGATAACAAACATTTATGGCATGAGCGTTTGTCGTGCAACAGTCGGCCGGTCTATCGGGTTACGCTTAGTAAGTCTTCATTTCCACGCGGCACGGCGGTCCGCCCACGCGGGTTAGTCTGCGGACGGTAGCCAACTCAAAACTGACGTCTGATGTGAGCTATCGAATAACGGACGCTTTCGTACGTGCATCTCCGTGGAGTTTTATGGTTTTTACGCGGCGATTCTATCGGATATAAGGTGTCGAATGAGACATTTCGTTATATTTCGGACAACGCACCCGACCGACTCGTTTTCGTATTGTCGGTACTCGTTTTATGGATCTTTTATGTGCGGTAGAGTTCTGTTAAGAGTTCTATTAGGTAATCGAAATACCTCTTAATGTTTGTAGTGATTTCGTGTTTGAACTATACTCTCAAATCCCAACAATAACAAGCAATTCTTTTAAGTATATTACATCACAGCTAAACTTAATGTAGATACTTAATACAAAAGCAGAATAGACGACATCATCGTTGTCCTTTTATGCTTTAATACAGTTTAAAATAATGATCGACGATGGGCAATCATTGTTTCATTAATGCTAGGAAAGTAAAAGAATTAAACTAGATTTTAATGACCGAAAAGACTTCTTTTAAAATTATGTCCTGCTCAGCACGTTCATTAGTCTGATTCAACAGCTCATATACATACTACAATGTAGTACTTAATAAAGTAAAATCAAAATCTATTGGATTTATTATTCGGATCGGGGTTATAACCTGAAACTTATGATTCAAAACTACATCACCAAACTACTAAAGTTACTACAGATTATAGCGGCTAAAATAAAACAATGCACAATGGATTTTATTTGAGCGGCCACATGCTCCCGACCGCTACGTATAGAAATCGCTATTGCGCGTGACGTGCGGTGGTCGTCGATAAGCCGCCGGCTGTCCGTGACGCGGTCGTCACGTGACCGCCGATAGTGTCGCGCATTGACGGCTCTATCGCGTCGCGTTGTGACGCGTCCCGTCGAGGTCTAAAAGCCTTTTCGTCGGACAAACGTGCTTATTCAATTGTATGTCTGTCAACTGACGGTATAATTTTTCAGATAATGTTTGAAACGTTGATATTTGAGGGTAGAGTGTAATTTTTTTTATGTCTTGTCTTGTTAGATGTCACTGGGATGTACATAAAATACGTTGAGATTTTCTTCGGTGTGGCAATCAGCCGTTTAGCTCGGTTGTTAAAGTGTGTGGTGGCTGGGCTTTCATGGTGAGCAGCTTATGTTTATTAGCAGTGGGATGATTTAAAAAATGTTTTATGTATCTCGGGAAAAGAATTCGTGCAGTGAAGAAGGAAATTTCCAGTTTCGTCTTATACGAGCTTTTCCACGTTGGAAATACATTCACTTCGTATATTGTGTCGATTGCCCCACAGGTACAGGCAATAACTGGGCCCGATAATGAGATCCGTTACGTTCTAATTACGCGGCATCCACTGCCGCCCCGCTGAGGCGCTTGACACATAGATTAACTTGTCAACGCGTAATCGATACGTTGCGTGTTATCCGGCCGCCGTGAGATATGCCTATTTACATGCAAGGAGATATAAATTCTCATATCACAGTGTAATGTCTTTTACGAATGTTTTCGTGAATCATTTAGTTTTATTAAGTGTTTGTGTTTTTGTCGGGTTTGAAATAATATTCCGACTCGTTAATATAAATGGTAAAAGTCAATAATGAATGTGTATACTTAAGTTCAAAAGCTGTTTGTATTAGTCTTTTAACACGATATTCCCTTCTTACCTATGTTTTGTATGTATTTTATTTCAAAAGGTAGTTATGTTTATTTTTTAACAAATTAAATTCACATTGAATGCTCGTCGTTTAATGTTTTCGGTAAATGTACTTGGAGTTGGGTGTGCTATGGCGCTGGGGGTAAACGCAAAAACAATCGGCGCAGCGGGATACGAACCTTTGTTTTCTGGTTTCACACAATTAATCTAAGCTGTCGATTTTTGTTGCATATTTAGCAATGCTTGGTGCCATCTAATACTCGTATGGAAACTTTACAGTATGAAACAGTTTACAAAGAACACTAAATGATGAACATGTGTAACACGATGTGTAATGACGTACGTCGCCTTTGTTCTTAAAATTTTAGGATAATTCTATTTTGTGTCAGTCTTTGAACCCATTATGAAATTTAAAACGTGAGCTTTTGTGGAAAGCCCAGAAAACTGTTCGAATGAAAAGTAATATTTGACTACTCATTTATACGTGTCGAAGTCCTTTAATATTTGTTTTATTCGACGATATACAGACGAAGCGGTGCTAACAGAAGTTTTTATATCCGACAATGGCATGGACGTGGACATCCGAGGCGGGGAAAACTTTCAGCTTCAGTGTAAACGCTTGAAAACCGCTTCATGTAAGCATTTTTTTAGGTTTCATAGGATTTTTCAATAGGACCTGACCATCTGATAATGAGCGCTTTTTTAGACTCGGGTAGTTCCTTAATCGTTTAGTGACGTAACTGTCAAAATAAACATAAGGTGTAAATAAACGATTACGTTTAGTGTAAAAAGATCATTAGGTGTATCAGCTACGATAGCTCAGTGTCCGGAAGCTCGCCTTTAATTTAATATACCCCAATAACCTGACAGCCGGAACCAATGTAATTGTTAATTTAATTTTTACTTGCTGACTTATCAGTGGTGAAGAAAAGCATCTTGAAGAAAGTAGCATATTTTTCAATAAATTAATATTTCAAAGGTATGTGAAGTCTGTCATTCCGCAGTGGGGTAGCTTGGTGGACTAATACCCTCTGCAGAGAGGTCTTTGCTCAGCTGTGGGACATATATAGGCTGTTACTTTACTTTGATGATACTCGTGAAGGCATGAAGGTGGCAGATTGTATCCATCACTAAACACAAGGCGCGTAAGGGATCTTTGTATTAAAGAAAATTTTATTACGGTGCGCTTATTGATGCATATAAGTGACAAAAGCGCAACCATTAGTTGCAAGCCTTTCCCTAAGGTATCATTCTGTAAATATATCTATCTATACTGAAACCGACACTTTCCCTTAGCTTGTTACGCAATTGTGCGAATGCTGGACGTCTATATTTGTAATCGTGGGCATTACATTCGTTACAGTTCAGCTAATTCCGTATGACACGGTGCGGAATATGGCATGCGCATTAATTTGACAACGTAAGGCATTATGGCATTAAGGAACGTTTACACAGCCCGCTGCTCGTGACAGAGTGAGGTCGCGGCGAAATGTATAAGATAGGAGCGATTTGTTAACGTTTAAAATTCAAGCTTATCTTTATATTTACCTCGATTTTATTTCTATCCACCAGTATGATTCTAAACATGAATTATAAAACTTGTTGTTATCGAAAACTGTAAATCTTTGTTTAGTTTATTGAAAAGTTTTAACAACCTAATGCAATAATAAAACGTATCATTCTGTCATTTTCAGTTTTACGATAACTGGTAACTGCTATAGTTATTTATCAGATGTTTACTTATAAAATTCGTTGTTACCATTTTTACCATTGTTTTAACTTCAAACGATCCATTCACATTATCTACTATGAAACATGTCCACTTTATTTATATATAAATAGCATCCGATCCAGGCCTCTAAACCGCTGCCGCCTGTGCCTTACCGACAGCCGCAAGACGGAGACAATTGGCACGTCACCGACAGGGGCGCCGCTTTTAGTAACCACAAATCACGAGTGGCGACGGTCAAACGCCGGCCACTCCATCGGGCGGCCGCCCGACTCTCCAATCTCCGAGCTGGCTGACTTACTAGCTGGGTTATTGCCACTAAAGGAAGTCGGATGTCTTGTAACAGTACAGCAAACACCCAAGTCTTCAACCCTAATGGATCTAAAAGTGGATAAGTAAGCGTCAGATTGAAAAAGTAGCGGGTCGCTAGTTTAGTTTTTTATGTGAGATGGCGGTAAACGAGCGGTTCACCTGATGTTAAATGATAACCGCCACCCATCGACGCTTGCAACATCCGTAGGGTTGCAGTTGCGTTGTTTGTGTGGCTACCTCACTCACCAGACGAAACGCAGAACTTCCACTTCTACACCGGTCTCCTGTGAGGTGCAACAGCGAAGACTGTTGCGTGGCCCTGCTTCCTTAAAATATAACATTCACAACTTATCCTTATGTTATTAACGGCAACATTTTTGAGATTAACATTGGCTAATTCTCTCAATGAGTTCCACTTTTGTCCGCGACCATTCGTACCGCCGGCGACGCGTACAAATAACCCTTTTTATGGCACGGAACGAGAATTCCCCCGCAGTCGGGCTCGGAATTGATCCCCCCGAACCGCCACTCAATTATTGACATATCGGCAAAGTGGCCGATTACTCTCGGCCGGGCGGCGGGCGGATTATAATGCGTCTGATTAAACGTTCCACGGTGGACCATCGTGCAGGCATTGCGGGCGACCCTCGCACGACTTTTTCATCTATCAACTGCATCGGAGTCGATTTGAATTGTCATTTGCTGGTGTGTGTTGCAAACATTTGAGCGAGAGCCGACGCTTCAAACGATTAAACTCGGTTTAGATCGAAGAAAAATTGGATGAGGCACAAGTGTCAAAGAAACTCTTTAAAGGTCACGGAGTAGGCTGTAATTTAAGTTTCATAAATCTAATACTTATAACACTTCATGGGATTTGTCGTGTTTAATACTTAAGACCTTTCGTTAATATTTCATCACTATCAATAATTACTCTCAGTTCTTACACGGAGTATATTCCTACGTAACTGAATGCACAATGTCGAACTACATCTCTCCATCTTTGATGCAGTCAGAGAATAGGTGATATAACAATACATTGCCCCGCAGACGATCTACATAATTAAAATGAACATGGGCGAAACCGTCGGCAATGAGTAGTAAACAAACAAGCGTTTTCGCGTACAATTTACTAAACTTATGGAAAGCCAGCAAAGATAGCAGTAGCGGTAAGCAGACGTTAACGGAAAGAAATTAAAAGCGCCGCTCGTACCCTGGCGGGGGAATAACCCGTGAGATAAGACGCGCAAACTAAATACGAAACTGAAACTTAAACCCTCAAAGCCTTGTAAAGCTCGGCTTGTTCGTCCCGTGGCGGTCATCTCGCAGAATCACTGCAAAGACTTGCATAACCAAGTCCGAGGGGGACGGGAGATGCGCGCCGCCGCCTGCTAGAGCGGGACGGGGGAAGTTTTGCAGTTGTCATAATTCCGCCTGGTAGGCTAATAATAAAGATAAACCCGGAGGGGGGGGGGGGGGGGTCGGTCCCGCTATGTTTACTGCCCGTACAGTTTTTGTTCAGCTCAGCTCAGGTCTAGGATAGATATTAAGCAATCTTTACCAATGTAGCTTGTACGGGAGTTGTAGATGATGTTTTCATCTAAATTTATTATTTAAATATAATTAGTTACTTTAAATTATCAAAAGATATGCAAACTAATGTTCAGTAATGAATGTACAAAAATAGGTTGTGTTAAATTTGTATTATCATACAAAATTATATCTATTGTGTGTAACTGAAGGCATCAGTGGTCTTTAAATATTGTTAATCCAAATTCTGAAATAATAAATATCTAATGAATTTAGATTAACAACTGTGACTTTAACTGCGTGTAAAATTATTATGCATATGTTTATATAATAAATTACTGACATTATTATAATACTTGGTTAGGGATAGATTGGTGACTTGGATGTTATTAGTAACATTAAAACCTCAGCCAATCCTTTTAAGTTTTTTAAGATTTCTCACTAGCAAAATCGGCGTCTAAGTGAAGACCTCGATCGGCGAAGACAAGGTCTTCACTTGGAAGTGTTACACTTTTGCGTTTCACCAGCGTCTAATTCTTTGAAAGTTAGTAACGCATCTACCACCCCAAAGAGGAAGAGATTGTTGTACCTGGGTGTGGTAATCACTTAACATCAGGCGAACCGGCTGATCTCATACCAACTTCTGACATACAAATCCAGTAAGGGTTGTAAGCCCTCGATAACTTGTTACTAAACTGTAGTACAATTATTAAGTAAGCGCTCGAACGGGTCCGATAAATCACGCGTGCTTAAGACTCTCCGCGTAAATTACTACGCCGCAGTTTTCTCGATAAGTAAAGTATGCAACACTGGCCGTTTACATTTTTACTTGATGAGTTGTTCGTGATTCATGCTTTAGCGATACTGCATATGTTTTATAAATTGTAGATTTAAATTCTAACGAAATAGACCTAATTGGATTCCGAACGTGATTCGGTGAGAGCTGAAAATGTTGTTGTCTGCTTCCGCGTCAAATCATTTAATTCTATTCGGACGAGGTAAACTCAACGGTGTTTGATACCGTGAACTTATCTCCGTACCCAGAGTGGCCGCTAGTTGCCAGGGCAATATCTGACATCGGCTGCTGTTGCAATGGACGGTGAGTGCTGGGATTTGCGATGGCGGAAGGTGGCGATGCGATCTCGTCGAGGAGACTTCAGATTGAGACTCCAATGGGACTGCCATTGTCGTCAGGGGTGGCAAACTTTTTGTACATCCACGTTTATCTTAAAATCCCTCGCAATCTTGCCTTCATAGTCATTTGAAGTAAAACATATGTAATACAATAACAAACATTCACCGTGTTGCGAAATAAGTGTGTCTGTGCTCTTTGGAATTTCTGATACATAAAAAATATATCTGAATGTCTAAATTAATAGTAGTGTACTATGAGGACAGGATGGTATAACATATGATTAAATAATATAGGATCATAATAATTCATTGACTTGAGTAAAGTCCATATAGTATACTAAATTACTGATGTAGGTACATTATATGGACTGTACTGAAATCAGTTTAAGTTCTGACATCGAGCATAGCACAAAATAGACTCCGCGATTGTCCTGTTTCCTAGGGTTAGTTATTCCAAAAAAATATGAGTTCTTGTTTTTTATGTTTTTATAGTCAAATATTTGTGTTAGGTATAAAGTTTGAGACTGATATTTTACGCTGACATAAACTTTTTAGCATACTTTTATACCCTCTAAATAACAATAATGATAACTTATTGAAGCAACCAATACGCAAAAAAGTACTTATGCAAATGGCATTTATATATGTAATGTATCTATTTCGTTCAAAAAGTTTAGCTACAGGCATGTCTATAGATTAGATTGGTCATATTGCATATACATTTTTTGATATATTTCTTCGTACTTTAACGTATAGAGAAACTTGGTGGCGTATAATAAATAGATTTTCTGTCACACCACATGTATCCGTCAAGCGGGTAATGTGTGACGTCACGACATCTCTGCGACATTGCCGCGACATTGATACGTGACATGACGTGACACTTCGGGATCGTTTCTCGCTGTGTATGTCGGTTTATGTCATTGTTGTTTTCATAAGAACAAACGTTATATATTTCTAACATTTTCTTGAGGTCTTGAAAGTAGATTTATGTTAACTTACTTTATTTCTTTTGTTTTTACGGAAATACCCTTATTTATTATTTATTGCCTTTTTCTAATACAAGATGCAATATATATTGGTTTATTAAATGGCTTCCTTAGGCACTGCCTCGTCCGCGTGGTTCTCTTTTTGCGATATAAAAAAATATTTTTTTTTGTTTTTTTTTTTTAAGATATTGCCCTTAATTTAGGATAACATTATTCTGTGTTATAACGACGTTTTAAAAACTAAAATTTCACGTGGACAAATACCTAAATGCGAAACAATTATCTGTAGGTCACTCAAATAGTTGTCCCGTATTGGAATCGAACCCTCGACCACCGACGCCGAAGCCAATAGCGTGGCAACTGCGCCACGGTGTCATCCAAAATTATGGTTTTAAGTAATATCCCGCTCACTTGATTTAAAATTTCAATTTGATGTTTTTAGAATCACAAAAGTTTCGTTCATTAGGAGTGAGATTTTCGTCTTTACCGAAACACTAAATGTTTCATAATCATTTTAAATATTTGAAATATTCAAAGCTTTCGAGGGGCGTGTGTATTCGCCAGTTTGTTGTTCGCTATTGTTTGTGTAATACGAAGAGCGGTTATAAATTCCCCATCGCCGGTCCACCTCGGGTGCAATTTGGCTTCGTGCGTGCCTCGTGCGCCGCCAGCTCTATCAGGGCTGACGTCCATCATTCATGCGCCGGTATCGGCCGTAACTCACTCTTATGGCCGCAATAGCAATTCAGCATCGCTCCTTATTTGCGGCAAGCGCTTGCAACGCTTCTCGACCGAGCCGAGGTCGATGGCGCCGTGTCTTTGTTCTTATTTCTTCGCAATTAATAAAAATTGAGTTTACTGAGTGCCTTGGTAGCTCAGTGGCCGAGCGCTCGCTTTTCATTCAATATACTCGAGCAACATGAGTTCAATCAATTCAATCAGTTCAAATTGATAAATTTAAGTGCTGACTTATCACGTGTTCTGCGGTGTCGAAAATCTTCATGAGGAAAGCTGCATATTTTTGAAATAGTAACAAAAAACTTAGTTTTTAATCTAAAAACATACAAAGACCTAGACATAGTATTATGGCATAATGCCATAATACTATGTCTAGGCCTTTGTCCAGCAGTGAGACATGTATAGATGTGTACTTGACTATTTTTACGCACTGTGTAATTCTCGATAATAAGGGTGGTGTTAATTTTCGTGGTAAATCATTTGCGCTCTTTTAATTTTTGCGTTGCTCTGCCTTGACTATTGTGTTCGGATGTAGGTAAATAGGACGCGGGTATACTTATTCCTTTTACTTTTTTTTAGCTAAAATTTCGGTGCTGAGACCAATGAAATTGTTAATTGTAATTTAGTTTAGTTACTTTTTAAGCGCCGACTCGCCAAGTGCTCAGCGATGTGGGAAACTGTATATTTTCGAAAGAAACGAACATTTTAGATATCTGAAGTCTGCAGAGGGGTTGCATGGTAGACTGTGCCCTTACTACAGCGGTGGCCTTTTAACAGCACTGTATATACATACATATAGATGCTGTTACTTTACTTTTACTTTTATAGTACCTTCTATAGTAAAACGTAAGTGAATTTAATTACAAACACTCGCGCACTCCACTCCACACCTCGTAGCCTCTCGACAGAGTCGCATTCGTACATTACGCGTGCATTACGCGAACACGTGGCTAATTAGATCTCGTCCCGGGCCAAATCGGCAGCGTTTAATTAATCAGCGGGCGCCGCAGTTGGAGCTTGGCCGCGCCTACGCGCACTCCGCTCCTTAACCGGGGAATCGTGTCGAGACGCTTAATTAGGGGGCCCTAACGAATTCCGCACCGGCCCGCGGCCTAATTAATGGCGCGATGGGCTTGTCGCATCACGGCGGCGACAGGCTCACCTGTTCGTTTCCACTTCCTTTTTAGGGTCCCGTATCCAAAGGGTAAAACGGAACTCTATTACTAAGAGTCCGCTGTCTGTCCGTCCGTGATACTAAGACAGTTGAAATTTTCACAGATGGTGTATTTCTGTTCAGCTTTAACATCAAATACAGACATGATTTACATGCCGTTTTTATAGATAATGGTAGGGAACCTTTCGTAAGCGTTTTCTTTCGCATGTTTTGCTGTTGTGGGGCCGCGTAACGCCTGCAGTTGCACGAATAGGCAGGCTCGGATGGGTAAATACCATGGTCTCATGGAAGACCAGCCCGAAGTGGAAGTGTTGTACTCTCGCGTTTCGTCTGGTGATTTGTTGCACTTATCGAGTGCCTCGCCCGCGTCTCTTTTCGTCTTAGGCTATAAGTCTTTCATTGATCCAGCGCCTTCACCACCAACGACTCCTACACCTTTTGCGATTGGATGACAGGAGAGAATTGCAGCCCGGCGAGTGCTTTCGCGACAATAGGCCGCTGCAACGACGACAATGCGCGCATCTCTTCCACGCTAATGAGCGCGTCCCGGCGATGCGCGCGCGCACAATGCGAGCGCGATGGGCCCCCTGTCTATCGCCGTGCGAATCTCCCCCTAAGGCCGGTGACAGGGAACTCTCCATCTCGCACGGCCGCTCGTGAATCAGATAGGGCGTCGCCTCAGCGCCATCTATCGCCGCGCCACGGCGATCTAAATAACCGCCCGATCGGCCGGATAAATGGCCCACGTCGCCTTTCCCCGCTTGTTAGGCGCCCGTAATTAATGACCCCCGGCCGCGGTTGTTTCCTCGGCGGCCATTATGATTTTGTATAGGAAAATGGCGCTCGTACCGCGCGCGCGCTGCGCTGATAAATACCGCGCGTTTAGTTGTAAACCAGTGGTAAATTGACAGCAGAGTGGGATTAATAGTGGCCGCTTGTGACGTAGATTCCCCCCTACGTTTACTCCCCGTATGTTAATGCGATATTTAGATAGATGATTAAAGAGCGATTTAATAATGAGAACGCGTACTTACTTGATTAAATAATTGTGGCAAATGGCATAAACATTTGCATCACGGCCCTATGAGGAAACGCTTCTAATGCGGACCTCGTTAGCTGGGTTGTTGGCTAATTCCTTCAAGGTGTATTTTGGGAGAAACTAATGCGTTGATTGTCTACGTTATGTCTTATTCGCTTGCGTTGTGAACCGCCCTGATCTTCGATGGAACCTGGAACGCCTCAGATGATGTTCTCTATTACCTGTAAGTGGCCTGACAAAAAGTAACGGATCCATTCAAACCGCGACCGGTGTGGTATCAGTTTAGCAACTAAATTCAAACTCCGTTACCAAAATTTGTCTTAATGGACACGCGCTGACGATCTGTGAACTCCGTAACAAAAGTAGAATAAAACAACGTAGAGCCTGCGTGGCAAATTAGCCCTAATACCCTAAGTACATAAGTTTTTGCCTAGCATTAGGACTTATTTATGTTTACCGTTCCGAGTTAAAGTAAGCTTAAAGACTTTCAACGTTTAAGCTACTAAAAATCAAACAGTTACTAAAGTCACGCACGACTACATATAATTTTATTAAGGTATTAACTCCGATCAAAACAGCTCCAAACGAGCCTAAATTAAGCTTCAACGAAGTTGAAAAATGCTCTACCGATCTCACCATTAACAAACAGATATCAGCAGGCACCATTGGAGAGTGCCTGAGTTCGGACGTTCCTCTCATTGGCAATCGCGATAAGGCGCGGGGGGCACTCACTAAATCCTCCGGGCGTCCAAATAAAGCATCGTCCGCCGAGGTCCAGACGCGCGGTCGTCTCCGACCCATAGCGCCCCGCTTTTGTCCACCGGTTGCCCCATAAATTATTCTAATTCGGACCCCATTAGACATTCGGCTAAGGGAGCGCTGCCCGTGCATTCTGCGGCGCGCTGATCGTATATCAAGCGCTTCGCCGATATTCCGCGAAACAATGCGAGACGCTACCTGTCCGCGAGACGCGGCTCCATTGCAACACGCGACACGGAAAAATCCAATCACTCTCGCGGTAATAATGGAAACGTGCTCCGTATTCGCTTTTAAGAGGAGGAGTAAAGCTCATAGACACTTACTAGGGCCGTTATTACTGAATCTCACTTTCCTTTATAGAGACAGTCTTAAAAAAGTCGGTTTTCATCTGTGCTAAAGTCTAGTTTCATTATTTTTAAAATCTACTTGTATGGTGCAGCTGAACTGGATAATGACTTAGATGATTTTCAGTCACCGGTGGTCCAGTTTCTGTCTTAGACGTATGTTTTCTGTACTACCCATATTTTACCCGGATATGTGCTTTCTTTGAATGCAGTTAAGATCTGTAAAATATTTCATGCTTTAGAATAAACAAATGCAAATGTAAATAGATGTATTATCAAGCGGAAAAAGATAGTCTAGCTGCTTATGTCTGCCTTCGTTAGCTTTGTAAGGTTCCCCGATTGAATCTTCAGAATTATCCAAGTTGAACATTATACAGCGTGTTGTGCGAACTAGTAAGATAATTTTAAACAATTTGAGATCGCCTTTCGATCCGTATCGCGTAGTGGCGTGCGCGCGTCGCGACAGGCTCGGACACGCGACAAGCTCGTCGATATCGCGGGGATAAATCTCGGGCGGCGAAGCGACTGGCTTTTGTTTGGCTTCTGAGTAGCCCGTGAGATATGCGTGGGGATCCGACCCGATGTGAATTCAAAAGAGCCACGAAACGTTATTCACCTGCCATTCTGCGCGCCCAAAATACACTTTAATCGGACCCATAGCTTTTAGTTTATTTACTTACGCCATCGAGTAATTCATGACGCTAACGTAGTGAAACGGTATGTAGATTGAGTACAGTTATTGCATCTCAGAGTAACAGTTAAAATTTTTGCGGCACAAAGTCTAAATGTCTAATGCCCGTTTTCATCAACGCTAGTTTCATTTTTAATACCGCTTAAGACTCTGGGTGACCCTCGCTGATCTCTGCAAATAAAAGGAAAATTTAAAATTTTTAGAAAAGGACGAAAAGTTTTGTAACCGATGTGGGAATCAAATTTCACGTCTTCTGGATTCGCACCCCACAGCGGCGAAAAACTTTTTCGACCTTTTTTCAACAAATTATGATGTTCCTCTTAATTGCAGAGATTAGCAGTATAAAAATTTACACGTAATGTGTACAATTATTTGTGAGAGATGCTTTTTCACCGTCGATCCCTAATATAATATATATATATATATATATATATATATATATATATGTTATATAATCGGAATCTCGGAAACAGCTCGAGGGATTTTCATGAAATTTAGTATGCGCGTAGATTCGCTTGCGAAAAATCTAAAAATCGAGGTTTCATTTTTAGAACATGTCCTTTTATCCCTGTTTTCAGGGAATGAAAAATATCATTCGAATATGACGGACAGTTTACGATGTTATACAAAATGAAATATAAAAAGGGAAACGTACCAACTTATAGGCTATATTGATTTTTTTTAAATAAGTTTACCATTTGGATTATAATAAATTTTAAATTATTCACTCAAGATTAAATATAGTGGGAATACTTACACACACCGAGAGAAAGAATTTTAATTAAATTAGTTTCTGTTAAATGAAACTAGTTTACGGATTTCATCACGTTTTTCATTCGCGTATTGCGTTTAATTCAAATCAAATTAACACCTTATTGAAGAATCAAAGCTTCGGACTCAAAAAGAACTTTAATAAACACGAAACAAATCCGTTAATTATTTATTATTAACTTAAATATTTTAAGACTACTAAACTAATTGTCGATTGTATAAAACAGATTTTTGTCATTCGATAGTAGATTAAATATCCCTGCCCCATCCGTTCGTAAGTTCAACAGAACAATTAAGGCTGGCACACCGAGGAGGTGCATGAGTTATCGAAATGAGTGAGAATACTTTACGCTCGTAACGAAGGGATCAGCGTTGACGATTTGTGACAGCTCATCACTAGACGGACGCGGGAAAATCGACCGAAACCGATCGGCTATAACCACCGACGGACGATCCGTCCGCTAGCGGTCCCCCGCCGTCCGCCGGCGATAAATTCAACTTAGCACCGAAACTTATTACGGCCCGGGCATAAGTTAATGATATACTCACCAATAAATTGGCCGGTGACGTCGGCCTAGGCGGGTCGCGGACAGGCAGCCCCGGGGCACGTAAAATCAAATTAGACATTCCCCGGCCGTCGCGCTATATATCTCCCGGGCCAATGCGATGGACGTATGACGCGCTTTTTTGTGTACGGACGGTTTTTGTCGGACAAGTTTATCGTCGGGCCGGCCAGCCGTGTGTATTGGTGGCGGCGCTTTAATGTATCTTTTAATATGATCAATGTGCACATTATGTGTGCGTAATAGTATTGGTTGTAACTCAAAAGATCGCTTCGGACAACGCACGCTGTTCGTCGGCATTGGCTGATAAATATCGTATGAATTAAATTAAATGTAAATGATTTAACATCACCCTTATCGAAATTTGGTTTCATCTTTAGACAATGCCTCTAATATATTAATATAATATTAGTACGGACAAAATCCTATTAAGTCTTTCTAGTAATTAGCATAGTCTAGACGTTAACAGAGTCTAGTAGTATTAAATGATACAATAAAAATCATTGAATCATCTATATGGGATAGAAGTAAGGAAAATCTGGTATTAAATTTTGACTCATTCCGTTGAAGCGTTGGAATTGCGCACCTGTCAAATGTTCCGACCTTTTCGCTAAGTCGTAGAGTGAGGAGAAAGAGATTTTTTAATCATAAAGTCGAATGCCACAGGTTGAGGTGATTATTTTTCATACATGTGTTGCAGTTGGTAGTCTTTATTTATGGTGATTTTGTATTTATTTTGACAACAGGTGAACGGCCATCAATACAAAGTACTAGTCGACCCATGCTAAATTTTACTTTCATAGTACTGTAAGCAGTCACGGAACTTTAAAATTTTACTGTCTAGCATAAGGCAATTATAAACTTTCAAATGGTGAATGTTTAAGATTTGATGACAAATGGTGGAAATTATCGCGGACCAAAACCTTTGATAAATAACATATAAGCTGTGTGTATTTCAGATGCCATTTGTATGCATTCAGCGTTCAGAAAACAAAAGTTACACACGAACTCTCCCATTCATATGAGCGCGATGAGTTACGCAAAGCGCGTATCATTCCTACGCGAGTTCAAAAATCGAACGGTTCTGTGCCATAATCCGATCTCGTAAATCTCGCGCTGCCATTCCTAACTCGGACGCAGTGCATCAAACGGGAAGTGCCTGTGTCACGAGTGCGCGGGAGCAATTAGCCGGCGGCGTATATCTGGCCGATTAGCGCGCCGCCATTTTGATTATGACGCGTCACGTCGATGTGCACTGAACTGTTTCGGTCGGCGCCCTGCGCGATGTTCTAAGCCACGGAATGACGCCTTTGTGACTTGATGGAATATTAAGAGGCCTGGGTTAAACGTCTACACGCTCTGTGATATTCGAAACGGATCGGGTTCGATCTTTTCATATTACTTAAGGCATGCGGCGACTGATCCACTCTGTTAAATTTGAGAAGAAATATGCAAAGTTGTTTAACTCAAGGATTAACACTGAACTACAGTCAGGATTGAGTTAAGCCTATCACAACATTTTAAATATTAGATTATCATCAAGTAACTAAAATTATGTGATTTATAGTCGAATAACTTTACAATTGCGCGTATATTCTATGTACACCACCTATTTTAAAGTTTGAACTTAGCTAACCATAGATTTACCAAAGCTTAGTAATACAAGCAGTCTTATAACTGTCAAAACTGCACGTGGGGAGCACGTGACACTGGCGCGCCCCTGCGCGGGCAATTTTTCAGTTCTAAAACCGCACCTCTCAAAGGGTTTACATAAATACGTCCTTAACGCGAGCGTCATTATGATGTTGACAACGACACGGGAACGGGAGTGTTGCGCGGCGGCCGCTGATGAGGCGCGGCGCCGCGGCAAAAGCGCCCCTATGCCGAACAGAATAAGGGCGATCGCGATTGCGTCGCGCAAGATCGCAGCGCTGTCAGTGTTGTAGAGCATCTGTCATTCGCTAACAAATGCGGACAGGAATTGATGCGCGCACGGACAGTGAAAAACGCAGAATTGCGCGTCCGCCGTTGCTATATTTAGACGCGCAGCTGTCGCGGCTCGTCCATAGGTGTCAAGCGGCCCGCGTGTCAGTCCGCGCACCTTATACCAACCACGTGGGAGAAACAGACCGGTCATTCCGTTCTATTCATTTAATGCCCATTCGCACCTTTTCTTAACATAACTTATTTGACAAAAAATGTAAATAAAAAGTAAAAGTTCGTAAGTTATAAAAAGGTAAAGAGCTTACTTACGATCGTTTGCTCAAGGACTACACGTAATCTGTTGAAACAATATTCTGGAAGTTACTAATCCTTTCAACTATCAACTTAACATCAAAATAAAACGATATACATGATGAAGTATGCCCTCGTTTTTCATGTATACGAATGAAACTAAAGTAACATAACAGTTTCATGCATGTAACGGTGGTAGAGCCACGCAGCAGCCTCGGCTGTTGCACGAATGGGCAGGCTCGTCCGGGTAAGTACCACGACCTCACAGAAGACCGGCCTAAAGTGGAAGTATGAGAAATACTTTCGCGTTTCGTCTGGTGAGTGAGGTAGCCGGAGCCCAATTTCCAAAAAGGTTGTCAACGCATCTGCAAACCCTGGGGTGTAGCAGATGTTCATGGGCGGCGGTATTCACTTACCATCAGGTGAACCGTCAGCTCGTTTGGCAACTTTTCACATAAAAAAAAAATGTAAGAAATGTATTGTCGATGTCAAAATAGTTTCAGGATGCAGTAACCCATCATTTATTTTTCCATTTCTTTTACAACTTAAACGTGATACGTTAGAAATAATCATTTGTCGCCATTGAAAGAATTACTTTCACGTTTTAATCTCTAAACTGGTTAGTGGTTCTTGTAAAGAAACTTTGAAACCAATAGTCGTTTCAGATCGTCCGACGAGACCTCCGCTTCTAAGACACAGAGTTGGTAACTGTTTTGCATTTACGATGCACACTGATATTATTGCTAACTGCACCTTGAGATATTGCATCTGGCACATAAATTATTTACTTACGCTTGGCGCAAAACAAAAGGCCGCGCCGCGTCCAACAAGTTTACGCTGATGTCGGTTGTTGAGTGATACGCTTTATATTTGACTCTTGACACAGTTCTAAAACACACCTGCTTTGATTCGGTTTGTTACAATGTGTTTAAATAACAGAAATAACTGTCATAACTGACAACTGACGAGCTTTAGCATTACATGTACTATTTGCATTTATAATCAAGTTTTAACATATTACTTAAGAAAGCATAAATCATCAATACCACTTGAATTAATTATAAATTTCAATAGCATGATTTGATTTAGAAAATACTGTGAATATTTAATTGCATTGTAAAATATTCAAATACTTATCGCCACTTTTATACTTATGTATTATATTTAAATAAATAAATGGCATAACATATTTACGATTTAATAAAAATTGTAGAAATCTTTGTAGAATATTAAAATGTTTAGATTTAATTTTAAGTGCAGCGATTAGCACTATAAAAAACATAAGATTTAGATTAAGTGAAAAGTACAAATAGTGTATCACGTACAATATGTAAGTGAAATGTTATGTTTAGTTAAGGAAAGTGGTATTTCATAATCTTTTCTTAGCCCTTAACGTGTCAGGAATGAGCATTTGCGTAACTTATAAATATTGGAGTTATGAAGTGCATTGAAACGAAATTGGCTAGTGTATGGGATTATTCCATAACATCGTCAACGGCATGTTTGCGATGTAATTTCCACATTTAATATTAGTTTATGTCAGCGCGCGTGGACGGTGCCAATTGGGTGCGTCATTTGTTTTATATCAAGTGTCACAGCGTGCATCGCCTTAGTCTATGACTGTCAGTGACAATCTTAGTCAGCGAGGTTGTGGGCGGCGCCGCAATGAATTAACCCCGATATGTGCCTCTTGTACCAAATCACCCGCGACCGGCTCATTTTCAAGTGAGTTCTCGCGTCTCAGACCTCAACTAGGTAGCCAGAGATGGTATATGTTATCCACGTGTCATAGAGTTATGCAGTGCACATTATGCAGTAGATGATCATTGTTCCTGTCCGTGCTCTATAAACAGAATCCTCTTTTTGTCCGCAATGGATGGAGCCCTTAGGAACACCGATACCGTCACATCGTCCATATACCAGTAGAAAAAATTACAACGAAATAATCGACAGCTAAAACGTTGAACTGTCATTTCAACCGAATTACAAAAGGAGTGAAGCTATTTAATACACAATCACTACCACCAAATTAAAGAAAACCAAAATTAGTATTTATGTAACTAAAATCTACATATATAACCATTAAAATATATATCAATAAATACGTACACATATAAATAACTATAAACATACAAAATATATATTCTTTAAATTAATAATACACTTACAACAAAACTAAAAAAGTAACATTTGACAACAATTAAAAATTGTACAATCTAATCCAAAATTGGGATTATTTTTAATTATTATTTTAGTACGTATATCTTATATTTAAAAAAAACCGTAAAATTAAACTTAATCTTAAGATCATGTTTCATCAGTCAATTTCCTACTAGGATCTCTTTAAATTTATCTAAAGTACAGAGACACAGAGTGCTAAACTTAACTAATGCTGACTGATCATCACCTTCGCTCATGAACATCTCCAAGGTGTGTGTCCACTTCATGCCGGTCTTCTGTGAGGCCTGCCGAATTAAAGGAATTCAGCTAAGCTGATTCAATATACTCGAAGAACCTGAGTTCGATCCCAGGTGCCGGCACCAATGAAATTGTGAATTTTCAAGTGATGAATCACGTGCTCAGCGGTGAAAGAAAAAGCCGTGAGGAAACCTGCATATTTTCGAAATAATGATAAAAAAATATTTCGGAAATAAGTGAAGTCCGCCAATCCGCAGTGGGGCCGCATGGTGAACCATTCCCTGATACCCTCTGAGGCCTTTGCCCAGCAGTAGGACATGTATGGGCTGATACTTTACTTTTTACCTTATGCGTAATTAGATGTGATTATTTCCAATATTAGTAGCGCAGAATATTTGCGATACAGGGCGTCTATCCCCACTACTGGGAAAACGCTAAAAATGCTTTGCGCAGTTTGGGATTAGATAACGTTGTGTAAATGTATGACTGTCCGGAAAAAAAATTATAAAATACAAACAGTGAAATAAGCGCACTCACGATGTTCTCCCTGAAGGGGTAGAAAGAGATACCGATTCAATTTCGTTCCCTTCGTCCATTACGTACACCAGATCGGACGCTATCCACCTCTCAGTGAGTTAATTGGGTTTTGAATGTCTTATGAGATTACCCTATAAAAAGACGTTTCTGCACTACGGAATCAGAGTTACGGAAGCTTGTAAGTGCCAACGAAGGCTCTCGAAAAATTCGAACCACCGCGTATACCTCCATTTAACAGGTTGATAAAAAGCTCTCATTTCGCGCTGATTGTAAACACAATGTAATCATTGAACATAATTTGTAATTAGTTTCGAGATTGTTGAGTTTAATTGAAGAAGAGATCGCTATAGATAAGCCGGTAATGGGTTCGCTTAAGCTTGTAAGCGACAATAGAATGCGGTTAAGTTTGCGCTTTGATTAGATACAAGTGTTACGGTTATATTTTGAATACCGTTTTGTTATATACAAATAACTGTACAATTATACTTTTAACTCGAAACTTTGAATATATTACTTGTATTTTTAAGTTTGTGTGTTTATTTCCAAACTTAGGCCGGACACAATTTGTTAGCTAGTGTTTTAATGTTAAGCCGTTGGGCCATGTCTATGCGTTAGACTTTGAATTTGTTCTCCTAAAGAAATCTGAGATCTTATTCTGGTAGCAGCACTGATAAAACTCTCTGATTTAAATAAAAAATTGCAAACGGTATGAGCCCTATCTTTTATATTGAACATTTGTTAATTAGCTGGTGGTGCATTATTTTGAAGAAAAAAAAGACTGCTACTTATAAATCTGTAATTAATAAGTAGTCTGCTATTTGACTAATAACTCTGAAACATACAAGTGTGTTCGGTAGCTAGTAGTAGTCAAGGAGTAGTAGTAGTAGTCAAGGATTCGAATAAAAATGGCATGCACCAATGATTTTTGCATTCTTTTAGATTCATTACTTGTAAACTGATAACGTAGTGTTGGACGATCCCCCACTAGATGCAGTGATGACCTGTGCAAGAGTGTGGGAATTTTATGGATGCAGGTGGCTCAGGATCGTGCTTCCTGGCAGTCTGTGGTGGAGGTTAATGTTCACTGGTGGACTTACAGGCTGAAATGATGATGAAACTGATAACTGATCAAGTTTGGGGTTAAGATATGCTTGTTGAAATGTAAACAGTCGAAACCATTACAATTAAATAACGCGAGCGCTTGGTTTTGTTGCCCAACAGACAGTTTCGCGCTTTAATGCGCGTCCCGAAATCCTTTCGGGGCTTTTACGACCGTGCCCCAGTGGCGGTTGGGCCCCGCGGGAATGTTTTGACATTGGCCGTTTAACTGCGACGCGTTTTAATGGAAAAAGTGACAGAATTAGGAGCGTGCACCTATAATGTAGGCGGCGTCGGGTCGCATCGCGCTCGTAAAACCGCGCCCGTTTTAAAACGTTTCAAAACACACTGAATGATTTATCGCCTGATACTCGATGGAGGCGCGTTTGGGGCAAATAAGCGCTGCACGTCGCGTTTTCGTGTAATGCGGGTCCGGTTTTTCCCATTTCAATACTACGCACTAGCTGAGGTGCTGATACTACATCGGTAGGGCCCCGTGCTGAAAATAATGCACTCACTAAACACGTCTCGCGGCGTAAATTTATGCTTTTGCACTTCGTCTGTTGATTGAGTTTATCGTTTTCTGCCGTCTTAAAGGTTGACAACGCATTTACAACCCTATCCGTGTTGTAGATAAGGTACATCGCGAGCGTATTCTTATCT